GTCCCCGCCCCGACGGCCGGGCCGCCCCTACCGCCGCGTCCTCCGCCGCGTCCGCCTCGTCCGGCAGCCGCGGCCGCATCCGCCGCGGGTTGCTTGGGCGGGTTCCAGTCGTCGCCGTTGTGTTTCCGCTTATTGCTGCCACGGTCGTTGTAGCTGCCGCGACCATTGTTGTAGCTGCCGCGGTTATTGTTATTGCTCCCGCGACTGGGCTTGTTGGCAAACAGACTCTCGTACTCGCCCTCGCGCGGGTCGTCGGCCTCGACGCGCAGGATCGTCTTTTCGCGCACTGTCGTGGTAAACGTGAAGCGCTTCTCCGGGGGAACCGCGGACCAGGTGTTAATCTTGGCCGCGTCGGCGGGTCGCGCACCTTGCTTGAGCGCCAGCACGACGAGCGGCACGCGACCTTCTGTGTGGTACGCGGCCGTAGGCGGCACGGGCGCGACGCATGCGGCCCAGAGAGCGTTGTGGTGGCACGCGGTGCCTGTGACCTGCCAGGTCATGCGCGCGCCGAGGCCGCCGACCTTGGCGAGCAGCGGCTTCGGGCAAGGCCGCGGGACGATGATAATGTTAGTGCCATGGACGCGGAGACCGTCGCCCGCCCGCCCCGCATTGTCGCCACGCGGGATGCTCGGCATGAGCGCTAGCAGCTTCTGCGCGTCGGCGCTGTCGACGACGTAGCTGGTGAAGTAGACGGTTCGTTTGATGCACAGGGCGTTGGGTCGCAGATGCGGCGGTTGCTGCTGCATGGCCGCGTTGTGCTCGTTGATCATGCGCTGCACCTGCGCCACCTCGACGACGGGGTCCAGCGCCGTCTGCGTGTCGTTGACCTGGATGACTTCGCCCTGGATCGGCCCGCGCGTGGGCCGCACCCGCTGCGCATTATTATACTCCTCCAGAAAATCGCGAAACCCTTGCGTGTGAGCCGGCCGGTCTTCGTAGATGGAAATCTCGCGTGCGTGCTTGTACGTCTCCATGATCGCCGTCAGCAGCTCCTGCTTGAACTTCATGGTACTGGCAAACTTCTGGCTGTCGGGTCCGACGGGCGGCTTGAGACAGAGCATGTCAAAGTCAAGGTGTTTACTGGCGGCCATGCGGCTGACAAGGCTGGCGAAGCGCTGCTCGCCGCGGCCGGTGAGCAGCACGCACAGCGCATCGGGCTGCCGCATCGAGAGCCGCACAAGCTCGACGACTTTTTCGTTCCAGAAGCCTTCCCAGGCGCGCGCTTCTTCTTGTTCGAGACCCAGGCCTGTCGCGCCGAGAATACGGTCGTCGTGCCACCAGCCGCTGTTGATGAATGCGTCCTGCTTGGAGAGCATGCCAATCGTAGGGCCAGTCCACAAGGCTGTGTTTGGGAGGGGCGTCTTAAAAACTGTTTTGCGAATGTCAGGATGGGGTGGCGGTAGATGACCGGGTGATGCGTGCACACGTACGGGTATTGTCAAAGTCGTAGATGTGGAGGGCGGAGATCTTATCGACGGCTGGGAGATGATGTCAGTTGTGTCTACTCGTCATTGGACGGCCAGATAACTGGCACGCACGCACCGGGAAGCGTCTTGTTAAGGCTCGACCATCGGCCGAGCGCCGTGACTGTGAGCTGGCCGCGCTTCTGGCCAGCGCCATTGTAGTGGCCAAAGGCGGACGCCATGGCGCGCGGCGAGGAAAACAGGCGTCTCAGGCCGGCGCGCGCAAAGAGCATGAAACGGAAGGCGAGTTTGTTCTAGAGTGGTTGCTTTGCGGCGTCACAGTCGGCCGACCGGCGGCTGTCGATAGGAGGGGCGGTTGTCGTGGTGTCGTCGGCGTCGAGGACACGTCGTAGGTGAGGGAGATGAGGCTCAAAAAGGCTGCATCACGACCCAAAATTGAAGTTTGGGGTGGAAGTGGGGCGCCCGCAAACGACATGCGTGGCCAAGCCAGTAACTAGCTGTGGGATACATGGTGGGCTGAACTTGTAAATTGCATGGCAACTATCAGATTTACGAAAATATCCAATCCGATTGTTTCCATCATTCGATTCGCAGATTTCCGTATCTTGTCAGCAACCGCCACCATCAGCACCACCGAGTGACTCAGACGGGAAGCAAAGCGTTCTCTCCAACACGGCTGCTTCTACCCCACCATTTTACACTAAATTGCCAAGTTTACCTGTACGCTCGACCAACTATAAAAGCCACAATGCCAATCCATCGAGGAATGAACTGCACTCTACCTTTTAACAGAATCATCTGAACCCCGTCGTCTACACCAATCATGTCGCCACCAGGAATGCGCATCGGCCGCCTCGAGCTCGAGGACGTGCCCGCCGCAGCCAAGCTTTCGGGCCAGGCATTTAAGAGCGACCGCCAGACGCAGATGAAGGCGCTGGCCGAGACGGAACCGTTCGACATGGAAAAGTACACGCTCGAGAGCATGCCCTCGCACCTGACGTCGCGAACGTGCCACGTGCTCAAGGCCGTCGACGAGGCGACGGGCGACCTGATGGGCGTGTGCAACTGGGCCATCAAGGGCTTCGTGCCCAAGCGCATGCCGTTTTTCGAGGACCGCCTGGTCGAGGCGGCAGAAGCCAAGCAGCCGCAAGACGAGCCCAAGACAGACAAGGAGCCGGAACCAAAGGAGGAACTGAAGCAGGAAGAGGTAGCACAGCCGGCAGAGGAGGCGGACGAGGCAACGGACCCCATTAAGCGGCTCGTCGCCCTCACCGACGCAGACATGCAGGCGTGGATGACCGAGGTGATGCCGGCCGGCACGCGATGCCTCTTCATCGTCGGGCTAACCGTGGCGCCCGCCTACCAGGGCCGCGGCGTCGGCGCGGCGCTTCTGCGCTGGGGCACGGACATTTGCGACGACAACGGCGCGTTTGCCTGGGTGCACGCGTCGGACCCGGCATGGGGCATGTACCAGAAGAGCGGCTTCGAGGTGATTCGCAGCCTAGACGTCGACCTGGACGCGTACGCGCCGTGTAGGCCACAGGGGGAGGGCGAGGACGCGACGTGGGGGCACTACGTGTTTCGGTACATGAAGTATTTCCCCAAGGCGGAGCATGCGTGAGGGAGAGAGAACAAGAGCGAGTGCAGGGAAAGGGAAGAGAAGAGAGAAGGTGAGGATTTGGGTGTGGTGGGATGAGAGTCAAAAGTTGGAGTGAGGCCTGCTCCATAGCTGTATGCGGGAGGGGTGGCTCGTGCTTCCGTCAGGGATGAGATACTGGGTGTAACTACGAATGTATTCAATGATTGATCAGATTCTCGTATACTCGTATACTGCATTATGGCCGGCGCACCAGTCCGCCATGTCTCATGCTACCGTCTCTTCATCGTGGAGGCTGTCTTGAATTCTTAGGCAGCCTCATTTGACATGTTCAATACTAGCACACAATCCATCCCAGTGTCCAGAGTGTCAGTACCCAACGAGGGGTGTGCGCACATGGGTCAACCCCCCCCGCACAATGTCTTTTCCCGGCCGCAGAGCCGTCGCAATATACGCTAATCGGACTCTTCGACAAGGGCCCGGTCTCAGGTCTGTCTCTACAATCTACAATGAGGGGGAAGTGCCTTTGGGTCGCTGAGCCGTGTAGCCGTGTAGCCCTGTCGCCCTGTAGCACGCTAGGCGTTCGGTGAGTACTGGAGCAAAGTACCTTAGTACCGTAGTAGGAGGTACCTGGTAGTAGGTACTAGGCAGAGGTAGTATTATACGCGCTGCTGTTATTAATTCAATCTATACGCTGCTGTTAATTCAATCTATGTGAATTTATTCATGCCAAGCTCAAGGCTGCTATCGTGGTTAGCATTTCTCTCATAGCCTTGGCGCCTCACATCCATCACTGGAATGCCACTTTTCGCAAATGGCAAGTTCACTGACATGCCTCACCATCAATGCGCCGTGCCTCGTCTTTAGGTTCCCACTCATCCAGCGCGCCGAGGGCAGAAAACTTACCACTTTCCGGTTGTAACAGCTGCTGAAGCCATCGTGAGCCTACCTACATATGCCACGTGCAGAGGCTTCCAGCGCGGTCGGCGTAGGAAATACGTGTAATCAAAGAAGTTAAACATAACACAGAACGATGACTATCATAAGAGAAACTAATCATAATAAGAGATAGTTAGACACTAATCACTCGCAATTTCAGTCAGGTTTACTTCATTTCCACCTCAAGTAATAACGCTGGTAACTGCCTAGTATCAATCGCTTGAACTTCACATACGCGAATAGCATCACCATAAAGGACATACGTCCCTTGCATCTTAGGGCTGCCCTTATGGATATACTTCTTACTAAAATGGTTGTCAAATGCCGCATCGGCGAGGGCGTTTCGAAGGTAGCCCACTGCCGTGAACATGTGCGTTGCATTCACTAGGCGGTGGTGAGGGATGTGAGCGACGGAGCGGCCATGCCACTCGAAGAAGTCAAAGCAGTCGTCTGTGAACTGCGGATCCGACCTTCCGGACCTTCCGGTAATGAAGTCCGGCAAGTCATCGAACTTGATGTAGAGATGTGTGCACACCTTGATAGCCTTGGCATACGAGATAAAGGTTCCAGCCGTTGTGGTCTTATCTCGGGAGAGCTGTCTAGTGTTTTGAAGCAGCTTCTGCAATCCCTTCCTGTTGAGCACGCTTGGGTGGCGCCCGGCCGCCATCAGTATCTGGTTCACGTTGACCATGCCCCGGAAGTACGCGATTTGTTGTCCCCGCCAGTTAAAGAATTTGATAGAATCGTCGTCATGCCGGCCGCCGTCGTTGTTGCCGGCCCCCTCCAACGGCACGAGGAAGTCGGGTAGCCCCGCCATATTAATGTCAAGACAACAGCACACCTGCACAACGTGGTGGTAGGGAATAAAGGTTCCCCTAATGCCAACACCGCCCTTCACTATCTGCTTCGTGTCGCAAAAGATACCCCGAATCTTGCGGTTGGAGGTTTTAACACTCCCTGCTGCCGCGAGCAGCTGCGTGATGTTAACCATGGTATTGGTATACGCGATTGCCCACCCTCGCCATCTGAAAAAGCGGTACACCATGTCTTTGTAAAAAACAGAGCAGTCCTGTGGTAGGACTGGTTGCGGTATGCTATTTTCATTGCGGGCCACGGCACCGTGGCCTGAGGTTCCGTCGTTTTGGTCGTCGACAGCCTGGCCATCCAAATCTACCCGGTCCCGGGTGGAACGGGGTGGATATCTTGAAGACCATCCTTCTGGTGTTTTCTGGTGCATCCACTCTGGCTGAGAGAGGTGCATTCCTTGATCATCATTTCCATACTCGCCTGCGGCTGCTGGTTGACGTGGTGCCATATCCCCGACCCCCTGGCCATCATCAGGTCGGTTGTCAAGAGCCGTTGGGCTCCAAGGCGCAAGAGGAGAGAAAC